CGACGGAAGGACTAAATTGGTCTCAAAAATTGAAGTTTAAGGATATTTTTAGTACTTTTTGAAGTTCAAGGGTAATTTTAGTCCAAAAATGAAAGTTAAGGGACTGAATCGGGGATATAACCAAATTTGAATAATTATAACTTTATCGATGTTGCAGGTGGGCTGTGGGGCCCATTACATACTTCACGCGTGTATAACGTGATTGAGAATCTCAAGACCCAAGGGATCCGATCAAAGTAGTTAATATTGTATCGGCATACGTATCGATTTTATTACTGAAACGGTACGTATTAGATATTGAAATTTTTCGCATACCGTTTTGGATTTATCGTTATAAAAAAATTTTATGAAAAATTTGAGAGAGAAGTTGAAGAAAAAAACAAAAAAAGGACTCAATTAAAAAAATTAAAAAATTGAGGATGAAATTTACTAAAATAAACTCATAAGCCCAGCCCAATATTGAGCAGCCCGTCAAAACCCAAATTTAACAAAACCTTAGTTTCTTCTCTTTTAAAGGGAGAAAGAGGAGGTGCGGCTGCCAAAGTGCCAAACCCAAAAAAAAAATAAAATAATAATAATAATAATAATAAACTTGATTTTTCTCCCTTCTGCAGATCCACCATCGCCACCATCACCTCTGTTCTTTCACCTCGGAATCTCGGATCTTCACCATCCCCTTGCTGATTGGCTTTGTTTTTTTGTTTTGTGTGGGTTTTTTTGGTTTGTTTGTTTGCTGTTTTTTGTTCTGTTCAATGCAGATCTGACGGCCTTCTTTCTCCTCAGGCGGATCTGTGGCGGGCGCGTGAGGGCTGCTAGATCTGACGCCCACCGCGGCTCTTCTGCTGGTTCGAGGGACTGCCGTCGCCTGATCGGGTTACTGCCTGGATATCCTGTCGCCACCCCCCAGCCAAAACGACATTGTTTTGGCTGGGGATTCTTTTTTTTTTTTTTTCCTTCTTGCATAATGTATCGGTCAAATTCTGATGTACCGGATTGTACCTGAAATATCGACCGGTACACCCAATTTGACCGGTACAACCAAAATTTGACCGAAACAAAATATTAACTTATTTTGTTTCCGTTAACCTTCAAAACCGATACATATCGACCGTACCAGCCGGTACGGTACCGTATTGACCAAAGTTTTTAAAACCGAATCGGTCATTGAACCATTTTTAGGTTCGGTTCTCGATTTAATCGGTTCAATCAATTGAACAGATGAACCGACCTATCCAAACAGCAAGGAAGATTTGATGAGAGGAGCAAGCTGCAGGCATGGATTTTTTAATTTGGTGTTGATAATTTTGTAATTTTGTTAAAATTAAAGGTTAAAATGGGTATAAGAAAG